GAAAAATGTACAATTTTAATAATGATTAGTTTATATTTAATATTATTCTCATACAAACAGAATATGTTTAAATTAGCCAAATATATAAATATAATGAACATAAAAAAATTAGGAAAAATATGCAATTTTTTTATCTTTTCCTAAATGTATAAAAATGAGACTCGGGTAATTAAGAACTGACATGTGGCTTACTCATGAGCCTCTTTTTAACACCTAATATGTCACATAGATTTTGATGTGGAAAATATGAAATTAAAAGTTTGGTAAATATTTCTGAATCTTTACATATTAAATTTGAGAGTTAATCTCCTAGAATTGCGAGAAGTGATGAATCTACATGACAACATTTTAACAGATCACCGACCACCTATTAACGATTGAATGACGTGGCAATTTTAATCAAAATATGAGTAGATCCAATTTAAGTTGTATACGGAGTATATGTCTTATGTACAGTGTTGCTATAATTTTTTGGAAAAAATTACTCTGTACCAGAATAAGAATAAACATGGAGAAAATATTGTAATAAAAATACATTTTTTTTCTCCAAAATAGGAGTCACCAAATATTAAGAGATTTCTTAGTTTCAAAAAGAAGATATTTGTAATGTATTTCTACCGAAAGACAAAGTTTGTTCTGTATATTGGTGTTTAAGTATACAAAATTGACAAGAAAAGTCAATTGAGAAGATCAAATCCAAACACAAAGGGAGTATTGTTAAAGAAATTAGAACAATACATGAAGTTTTATGCAATTGAGTGAGAACTAAAATTCTTTTTTAAAAAATTAAAAAATCAACTTCTAAAATAATTAAAATAATAGTATAAATTTTTAAAATCAACTTCTAAAATAATAGTTACATTTTTCACATAAAATTTTAAATAATTATCACATAAAAATAATCACATATATTTTACATACCAAAATTTTTTCACTTTATATGAAGTTAGTTTCAAAGAGCAAAACAAATATAGTTACAAGGGTTTTCACAAAGAAAAATTACCAAAACATTTAAAAATAATCATAGGTATTTCACTTTTGACTTCATTGAAGTCACAACAAGCACTTTTTAAAAAAAAACAAAAAAATATTTGCATGGGATATATACAACAAAACAATATTTGCAAAAAAAGGGAATCACATATTTTTCATTTGAAATTTGAAATTTACTAGCTTAAACATGAGTGGCTAATAGAAGGACACAACACATTAAGATGCCCCTAAATGTACAATTGAGATAAAATTATAATTATTATAACGGAGACCTAAATTAGCAAAAGGCTAATCCAAAAGGGTCATTTTGAAAAATTACTCTTCATTTAAATGTTGAAAATACCTAAATTT